CCATGAGCAGCCCTTCTCAGGGACGCTTCTGTCCACACTCTGCTCATCATAGCTGAGCACCTACTCCGTGTCATCTCCTAACCAGCACCTTCATCCTTCCTAACCAGGTATTAAACAACTCTGAGGCCATCACCTGTCTCTTTCCGGGACGTCCTTCTTCCTGATGTTTTGTTCTGATTTTCTTCCTCTGCTTGCTAAGATTCAAGGCTTTCTGTTTATAAAGTAAGAATCACCAGTGCTGTATCACTAAATTTGCTGTTTATCTTTATTCTTGAAAGAAAGTTTAGTCACAAATAAAACTCCCGGTCAGGCTTCATTTTCCTCTCATTTTACAATATATTGTTGCACTTGAAAGCTGGTACTGAGTGTTGCCCTGGGGTTTTTTTTTTTTTCTTTTTTTGATTCTTATCCAAATCTGTTAGGCTAAATTTAGCGACTAATTAGCTTTATTTAATTCTTGCTAAAAGATGCATGGTAATAATGTGGCCTGAGATTTTCATTATTTTAGAGGCTTCTTTCTTGTTTTGCTTATTGTTGGCTGAGTATAACGTTCTAAATCATGTCTGCTGTTCCTCAGGACACTGTAGACCATGTTTTACTACTGAGGAGAATTCCAAGACCACTGGATTTTTCCACTTCCACGAATTTGCCCCCAAATGTTCATCTAATTCTTTATCATTGGAATTTGAACAATCTACCTGGCTACAACTACTGTGCATTTATTATGAATTAATATTGCTGGACCACGGTGTGCACTGAGTCTGTAGACTGCATTCCTCCTTTACTTCTAGGGGATTTTCTGTAAATATGCCTGTAGGGTAATCTGCCATCTCCCCAGGTAGAGGGTCACTGGTTCAAAGATACCAACTGTCCTGACGTCGCCTTAATTTTGTGGGCCTTCCTATCTAGAATCCTTTTATTTATTGCTACATTTGTCACTATGACCATTACAAACACTTACTCTGCTAACCTTTAGCACAACGTCTGTTCCCATGACGTTTCTGATTCATGATTACCTCTACAAGAGTTTCGATTTCTATGCATCTTTTTACCTCTGTGAACTTCCTTTTCATCTCACCTTGCATCTTTTGTCATTTCAGCTGTGTTACTTATTTTACGTGTAATCTCTTTTTGATTTAAAAAAAGTATGTCGTGGCAAGAGCACATCTGCTCCCTCTGTGAAGTATTCTACTCTTTCTATTTCTCTAGGAAATGACCACAGCGGGGCTCCCCTCGCATTAACCTTTAGATATCACTGACAATAAAATGAACCAACCCCTTCGATGGATGGCTATGGTGGATGCTACCCCGTTTTCACGCACTCGAGCCACACAGAAGTAGGAGGATGTATGCTCATCCGCACACCCGGATTCCCAGCCCTGAGTTAGCAAACTGTTCCCTGAGTAAGTCAGGAAGAACTCGGGCTTCTTGGTCACTGGTGATCCGAGCCACCCTTGCTCTCTCAGGGGCGTGGGTTATCAGTCCCGGAAGAGGACAGCAAAGGACACTGCCCCTGGAGGACTCCTGCGTGCATGCTCAATGCCAGCTCCCACATCCACAGAGAGAGAAATCCTTGCTCTGCCTTGATGTAAACCAAGTGCAGTAAGTCACCAGTAAGAGAACAGACAAACATCAGTTTTGTGAATCTGGAATGTCAAAATCTGTAATAATTGTCATCCTTGTCTGAAATCATACAACACTTTGCAGGTTTTAGTTTACCCAAAGACCTGCCTTTTTAGATACTCTTTCTCATATTCTGCTTTTCCATTTCAGTTCTCTGGATGTTAAAAAGAAACGACAATGTGCAGATCATCAAAATGATATCTATTAAAACTAACTTTTAGTCCAAGTCAAAATTTGGAAAAGAAGATATTTCCCTCCAAACATATTAAGCAATGATGTAAGGGTTAAATGGAAACATCCACAAGATAGTGAGAACATGAAGTCTGTAATTTATTGTGGTTTTAAAGCTCAGATTGTCCATCTAGCTAGAGAAGTGTGCACGCAGCTTCTGGGAGAGCTCTCTTTTGGAGCTTGAGGAGCTGCTGATGATTTGGAGCAGGCCCTTCTAGAGGACTCCTTTCCATTTTTTTTTTTTTCTGCTGGTAGCACCTTTTCACCCACTGCAAACCCCTCCTCCCTCAGACTTTAACAAGAGAGTTTCTGCAAAAGAGTTTTATCTATGGCCTCTGTGCTGATTAGCTCAGCCTCAGATTCAAATAATTTTATCTCAATGTACACAGCAGTTCAAGTCAAGCACATACACTACTCGGACAGGTAGATTAAAATGAAAACCAATTATTAGGTTAGCAGGAAGATGAAGTAAGTCTCAGTAGGATTCTTTTGGCAAGTGACACACAGTGTGTATCAAGATCACAACCAGACCTGTACACCTGGAGTCAGGATCACGAAGACTAGAACCCGCAGCCTTGGACCGGAGTCCTCAGCTACGCGCTCTCACTAGAAGTCCCATCGTGGAGACAGCCTGGCTTTGGCTCCAGATCTGTGTGATAAAGCAAATTTCACACTAATGCCCTGGTTTCCCCGTACATGTAAGTCACATTTACATTATACTGTCGTCTGTCAACGGTATGACGATCACACTGTGACTGAAAACCCGTGTACATAGCTTGATGAAAAACATTTTGCTGATAAAAGTACTAGCAATCATCGAAGCTCTCAGGAAAAATGGACCAACCACAGATTTGGTGATTGGAACACAGGGGGATTGGAACAAACCTTCAGGGTATAAAAAGTGCAGTGTCCATGAAACTCAATGAGGGGAAGGGCAGTGAAAGGAACTGAAGGGTGCAAAGTGAGGAAGTAACGAAATGTGCCTGCTGTGTGTGTTGGGAGGGCAGGGCTGGGAGCACAGCCCCATCAGTAGACCATCCGAGCAGACTTCTCCAAGTAAGTTCCTAGAAGCTGAGCTAAGACACGACACACATTGTCTACTAGTTCATTTATAATTAATCGAAGTTGCTCTTTTTTGACTTGATTCTGTTCAAACATACTGTTTCTAAAAAAGACCTTCAAGCATTTAACCACTGGGAGTGTTTTAAATTGTGTTCCTCTCCCACCCCACTCTAGTTGACTGATTGGAGCCCTGACACCAATGCAATGGCGTTAGGAAGTGGTGCCTTTTGCAGGTGTTGGGGTCATGAGGGTGAAACTGTCACATGAAGAGAATGAAGACCAAGACTCTCCATGACCCCATGAGGGTGTAAGCGGGCAGCACCTTCGAGTCGGAAAGGGTATCCGAAGGGCACCTTCCTGTTGGGCCCCAGCCACCAGACCCTGAGGACTAAACTTCCCTTGTTTAAGTCCCTGATCCGTAGTGTTCATTTACAGCAATGAGTAGAGAGGGAGGAACTCAGCAAAATGTCACTAGAAATCCTCAGAGGTCACCATGGGTCATCCTGGGCACGAGGGAAGCCAGTACTGTTGACCTGTGCCCTCGGGTGGGGAAAGGGCAGATGATGGGGCCGGGCCTCATGCCGCTCACATGGGCCTGGGCAGTGCCAGTGCATCACCTCAGCACCCTACCCGGGGCTCTGATGAGGACTTCAGCTCCCCCTTCCAAGGAGATGATCCTATTCTGTGTGGCATTAACCTGAACACTGATGATAAAAAAACACAAAACCCTACAAGAGCAAAGGTCCAGTTCATTCCTTTTAGTACCTAACACACCTCAGGCATTAAGAGTAAAAGCAACAGAAAAAGCGACACAGTGCAGCCTGGTTAGGAAGACAGTGCATTGGTAACTAAAACAAACAAAATCCCTTACTGACCTCCGCACCCTCCAGGCAGCTCCTCAACCCTTGCTCCTCTGCAAAGAGCTGCTCCAGCTGAGGTTGCGTGGGACCCCTCTCATGCTCCTCCCCTCCTCCTGCTCCCCCATAGGCAGGACTAAGGCACAGCTGTGGCCTCCATCTGCCTACCCAGCGATCACATCGGTCCTCATCTTACTTGGCTCTCAGCAGCTCTGTCCACAGCTGCCCAGACACCAGACTCACAGCCTGTGCCACATCCCTCGGGCATGCAGGGCTGGCTGGCCCCTCTGCTGCCGGCCATGCTCAGCTCAAAGATGATTTCCTGGCCATGGTAGGCCCCGAGTGACCGAGCCCAGCAGCCTCCCTGGCACTGCCTCGCCTGCATCAGCTCACCACCAGTGCTTTACTGCCAACGCACTTTACACTGGATGGCTCAGCACCGCTCTGTCACTTTAGAATGTGACCTACAGGAGAGCAGGCCAGCACCAGGCTGCCCAGCATCATGCCCAATGCTTCCAATGAACTCAACACACCGTGAAAGCTAAATAAATCTTACTGACTCCACGAGTGAAAGATAGCTACTGATGAATGTATCATTAGAAACTGACAAGATCTCTCAAGGGGAGTTGTATTACTCACAACAACGTAATGGTGTTTTGGGGAAAGTGCCAATTACACAGAAGAGTGTGGAGGAACAGATTCTGCAGGGCGGCTGCCCCACCTGGCACACGGAGGCAGAGCTGGGCACAGCCTGGAGGCCGGGTGGGGCCCCGAGCTGCTGAGCACCTCACGAGATGGAGCGTGCCTCGTGCACTCTAATTGCTTTGGAATTGAGGAGGACTGGTTGTTGCTTAGATTTTGAGAAGCCGCTGCTTACAATGGCTGCGAAATATCGTGCTATTTATGCCCCAAAATATATTCTTTGGATGCTCTCATATACCATATATGGGAATAGTTTGCTATGAGCACTGTTTTCCAAACAACCAGAAATCACCAAGCATATTTCACCTCTCAACATCCTCTAACAAAGTGGTCCACTGTCTTAAACTATCCAAATTGGACTGGTCTTGCCAAGTAAAGACTTATTTTATGAACAGCTAAAGAGCAATGGTTAAGAGAGGAGGCGTTCTTTTATCAATTAAAACTAGGACTAATATTTCACAAAAAGAGAATGAAGATTCCCCCCGCCAAAAACAAGTACTGAAAATGACAAGCAGAAGAAAGCACTGTGGGTTCTGCTGCTTGATAAAAGCGAGGCCCAAAGCTTGAGGCTGAAAGGCCATGGTTAGCATTGAGAGTGAAAGGAGTGTGCATCAGGATGAACTTCTGAGCGTCCTGCAGGTTCCTCTCTGTGAGGTTCACGTACAGGCCCTGGTCCACAGTGCCACACTGCAAGGGGAGACAAGAATATTAGTGGAAGCAGCCTGACAGCCACATCCTTCATGGCCACCATGGCTGGAGAGTGACTTGGACAGTGAACAAGCCACGGCCGCACGAGTAAAGATGTGAAAAGGCTCCCTTCTCCCCAGGACATTCTCATCCTTGGTGTCCTTGCTGTTACAGATGCGAGCTCATCCTGTTTGGGGGATGCTTCCACTGCACCGTGAGTGAACTGATCAGAAGTTTTAAAATAGAAAATAGAAGTAGAGGCCAATTATAATTTGAGCAGATAAGAAGAAACTCTTGTCATGTTCTGCGTAAACAGGTACTATTACACCTCAGCTCACTCGTGTGCCCATATTGAAAACGCAGCACAGGAGCATCTATAGATTTATTGGTTTTCTCATTATAGCAGTGGGTTTCTTAACAAACATAGATTCCATCTCAGTCACATTCCCATCACAAATGCAAAACACCCACAATTTAAAATATTTATTTCGGTTCATAGTTTATATGTAGTCAGCTAGTATCAAGGAAGATGTGGTACAGCAGAGGGTACAGGGTAGTGCAGCTGCTTACACGACGGTGATGGAAAGCAGACAGGGGAGGGAGGAGGGAGACACTCAGCCAGGTCATGCCCCGGGGGGCCCTGCTCTACCCAGCCCTCACCTAACAACACACTAGGCCACTCAACTCATGCATGGATGAATCTGACGGGCCAGGACCCGCATGATCCGAGAATCTTGCAAAACCTGACTCTGGACACAGGAGACCTCTGGGGACATTCCAGATCTAAACCATAACAGATCACTTGCAGCAGAATTATGTTTTAATCTGTAAACAATGTGATGCGATTCACAATTACTGAGGAAGTACTATTGCGCTCTGCTTGTATTATGCTTGTGTTCCAAGACGGGAGGAATTTGAAAACTTGCTCACAGTCTTGGAATCTATGTGATGACTCAGTAAATCTGCCATTGGACATGGAGATAAGTAGACAAAGACAGGGAGGAGAGGAGGAAGGAGGAAAGGATATAAAGGAAGAAAGGAGAAACAAGGAAGAAGGAAGGAAGAGACAATCTGTAGATGGAGGAAATATGAAACTGCATTCGAGACATGCAGGGGAAAAATCAGGCCTGGAAATAGCTGAGAATTAAATTCTGAGCCGTGTCAGTGCAAGGCTGGCAAGTGCTATGTGTGATGGTTTCCAGCAAGGACAAAGTACAAGGAGGTGTAAGGTAAGAAAGCACCGCATTCCTGGAACCTAGCACAGAATCAGAAAATTACCACCACTGTTTCATATTTCTCTTATAAATGTTAAATCCTGATACAAATAGTTCCTGACACACAGCAGAACTTCATGTAAGTAGGTTTGATGGAAACGAACTTGGGGGCCTATGCCACCTGCAACTAGGATTTACAACATGTCATCTCCAATACCGGGTTTTATTAGAGGTGAAAGGTGCAGCAGTGTAAGGTGGAAATTACTTTTTTGAAGTAGATTATATTTTTGCAGCATTTGATAAGATGCCCGATGAGCCACAAACTGACGGGCCAATTGGAGAATTAGCCCCGCCGCTAAACGGATCTCATTAATTTGGTCCAATGCTCATTTTGTATCCCCCTCTTGTAGGTGCTGCACGAAAGGGCTGTGGGAGTTCAGGTGAGGGCTCAGTCCTGCAAGTGGTGGCCTGAGTAGCCTCAGGTGTGTCCTGGCTCCCGGCTCCTGCACTCCACTTGGGGAGACCTTGCCTCTCAGACCCTGACTCTGCAACCAAAAAGCAGCAGGAAAACCCAGACTCCACGCACTCACAGCTCAGCACCGATGTGAGGGCAACTGAGATACTCAGCAGAGAGCAGGCATAAAGCCCTTGTAAATGCCCAGCAGGTTGTGTGTCTGGCTCCAAGAAGCCATTGAACCAGAGGTGGGTAATAAGTGCTTCTGTCTGGAAGCAGGTCAGTGTACCATGCATGGTTCACAGCAGCCAGAGGGAAATGAGCGAGTAAAGAAAGGAGCAGAGGAATCAATTTGTGAATACCGAATGAATGGTTCCATTTGCAGGATGGGGAGGGCTGTGCCAGAAGATTGTATATCTTTATAGTATTTAATAATAATGCTTGGAGCATTTGCCTGTCAGTGACAAAGAGCTCCACTGAGCTTGGTCTCTGCATGTGTGAGTCCTATAGCTGAAGCTGTCCTTGTTTTTGTGGCTTACTCTTCCCCAAGCTGATGGTCATAGCTCAGGCACAGGGAGCAGCTAGCTGTCTACACACTGGGTGAGGTGCACGAGTGTGCGTGCACGAGCGCGTGCACACACACACACACACACACACACACACACAGTGCTCTGTATGCATGGAGTTAAAAAATAAATAAAAACCAGAAGCTGAGATCTAAAGACAAAGACTTCTCACTGTCTTTGGGGACCCAGAAATGTAGGAAGCCTGGGGCTAACGAGAGATGGGGCCTCCTCCAGGTGGGCTCACTGTGAACACCCGGTCATCTATCTCTAGACCCTTGTCTTGTTTAAGTCAGTGGCCTGCGGTGTCAAGAACTGCGCTGGCAGAGTTCTCTGTGACTTCCTGGTGTCCCACCTGAGGGCTCTGTTTCCGATATTTTGAAAGCTACTATTTGTATGCACAGAATGTGTTTCTGGGACCATAGGCCATTCACCAAGATCCCTAACAGCTAGGCTATAAATTCTCCAGCTCTGCCTTACACACTAGTCTCCCTGCTGTCTGCGTCTGTACTGTGAGGCACCCTGGGGACTCTGTAAGAGAGGAAAACAGTAAGAGAGAAAGCGCAGCCTTTGCCCTCGTGTGGCCACTGCCCACCACGGTTACTGTGTCAACAGTGCCATGAGTACAAAGGTCAGTATTTCTACACAGTTTTAAAGAATGTGATAAACTCTTGCCTCTTGCCTTTCTTTTCTGATTTGTTTAAGACAGAATGTCCATCCTTGTCCCAGCACACCAATGCTTGTTGTCCAGGCCCACAGTCACCTCCCCTAGTCTTAATACTGCACAGTTCCACAGCACCTTGGTCTCCAACCGCCTCACTGTTCCACATCTGGCTACGGGCAGGAGCTGTGTATCCCAGGTCCTAACGTATGCAGAGAGGCTCTGCCCACCTCATTTAATTAGCCACTTCCTCACTGCTGATCAGAGGAACCACACTGCAGAGAAGATGTGGGGCTGTCACCCCACCACTGTGCCACAGTCTGGGGGCTGACTGTCATTGTCTCAATGGGTGACGATTTTTCTGTGCAGCTCAGGATTTGGATGACTGTGGAGCCACCACCTCTATCGGGGCAGACATCTTCCAGGGAGGCTTCTACACTACAACTAAGGAAGGTAAAATGTAGCTTTTGCTGTTACTGTTCTCAACTGAGCTTTCTCTGTTAAATTTTGAAATATGATGTACCCTCTGTATTAATCCTTCTTCTTCCTGACCTGCTTGCTAATAATTAGCCACAATTATTATATAAATGTTGTGTAAAACTCCAAGTGTCAGCAGGAGGAACAAGAACAAAAATATCTAACAGCTCTCAGTGTTGGTTACTGCCAACATCAGGACTTTTACACCTGCCTGGTAGAGGACTCTTAGCTACCAAGCGAACTCCTGCTCTTTGCCTGCCTCCAGTTTTCATGGACATCAGTCTGGACAACTATGCTGCTGTAACGATCAAAGACATACATCAATAGAAAGAAAACAGGAGGAGTTGCACAAAGAATCACCATGGTCTGTGACTTTGGTTCCATGCAAATTTGGGACTCTACCCAGCCAAAGAAGACAAGATTAGCAGAGCACATTTCCGGCCTGAAATGGGGCACTTTTCTGCATGCTTCGTTCATGATGCCCCATGCACCTACTCCCATCTCATAGAGAGTAAGCACTTCAGCGTGACACTGGCATTATAAAACCAGACACCAGTGGCCTTAGGAAATGAGAGGATTTGCTGTGTGCTGCAAATGTATCCAAATGAAAGGGCTAAAAGTTACCCACTGCCCGAAGGTGGTAAAGGATTAGAAAGTCTAGTAAGCCACTCGTTCCTGGTGAAGACTTTTGCAATAGAAACACTATGGAAAGTACACTATAAAGATAACAAGTGTCTTTGCTAATTTTTCAACCTTCAAAGTTTTAAAAGGACTTTTTAAAAAAAGTAATGATCTCTTTTATGGTCTATTTTCTCCTCCATATACATTTACTATCCAACATGTATATGAGTATGCACCTTGGGAAGACACCAAACAGATGGTCTCTCTGAGTCACCTTTATCAAATATGACACAGTAAATATCACACATTGATCGGTATCACCCAGGTTTATTCTTAAGACAGTCCCATGCTCTTGTATTCCCCCTTCCACATTGTCTTGATAAGAACATGAGGTGAAGATGATAAGTAACTTGTGCAGAGAAAGCCGTGAGCGATGAAGATGACATGGATATTAGTCACTTGTTCTCAATCCCATGTGCTCTCAAAGACTCAAGGACAAACACAAACAAAAAAATGAAAAAAATTATAAGCAAACACTACTTTCCAGAATCCAAGTAAAGCGTCGAGTGATTGAACATTTTCATCCTCCCAAAGGTTTAGGCTTCGGATGATCAGGCAGCCGGAACTTGAAGGACAAGTCCTGACGCTGAGTAATGACGGCCACCGTCAGTCATTTAGTTGGAACAGGCTGGGATCTGAGGGTGGAGGCTGGGATTCCAGATGGGCCACTCCTCAGCTGTGGTCCTGGCTTCTCTGCCCTGTGGGTCCGTGTTGTTCTCTGTGTGTGGTGACGTCTTTCTCAGCATGGCACTGCGTCCAGCATGCGAGATGCTGACCCGAAGCACCCAGCTCAGGCTTGGACCTTGGGACGGCTAACCTAGATGCCCGAAATGATGACCGTCTCAGCAGGGCTGATGTGTAAGGAAGCAGGTGACCATGGACTACACTTTTGTGCCCTCCCGCATTCACGTAGGAAGCCCTGTCCCTCAGCTTGACTCCGTGTGGGCACAGACTCTCCAAGGAAGTAACTAATGTTCAGTGAGATCGTAAGGGTGGTGCTGCAACTCGGTGGAACTGGTGGCCTCACAGAAGAGGACAACACAGGACAGATGTCTCCACCCTCCACAGAATGGCACAATGGGAAGATGGCCACCTGCCAACGAGGAACACAGCCATCCCCAGAGAATGACCCTGCTCTCAGCTTGGTCTTAAACTTCCAGCCTCCAGAGCTGTGAGAAAATAAATAAATGGCCTTTAAAAAAAAAAAATCCAATCTTTGTTAGCTTGTTATAGCAGCCCAAGTAGACTAAAACACCTGCCAAATGACCAAAGGCGTAGATCCCTTTGTCTCTTGAGTCTCAGCTTCTTCTGATCACTGGGAGGTGAGGGAACTCACAAATCCTGGGACAGCGTGGACATCCAGGAATTTTGTGACGGACGAAGGACTTTCAGCCTCCGTTTCTCTGCCCCCTGTTGTTACTACCACATCCATTCCCCCACCAAGAAATCCTGCCAACCTTGCCAATTAGAGCTCTGACCCCGTCTGTGTGTCTCCATCGCCCCATAACCTGGGCCCCATTCACCAGAGTCATTCACTAGCGATCAGAGCTCTGGGGACTCAGAGTCCCACACCATTAGTACTAACTGAAGCATAGACAGTTAATCCGCAGCAGAAGGCTGGCCGTTTTCAGCCTGGCATCACAACTGACAAAAGGCCCTTTTGTGGTCCTGGCGCCACAGTGTACAAAGTTCCCCACCTGCTGACAGGAGCCAAGCTGAGTGCAGGGCTGACCTGGAGGGACAGGGACAGCAGTGCTGCTCTGAGCGTGTACCCCAGGTTCACTGCCCAGCGCATCAGTCCCACGTTCTGCATTGTCCCCAGGGTGCCCCCGCCCCCCAAATTACCTGGAAGTTGGGGTTGGGGTTCGGATATGGCAGCCAGGCTGAGCGAGAGTTCTCCTGGAACTTGAAGGGCCCATTGAAGGCTTGCGAGATGGCACTCAGGTTGAAGACACACACAGCCGAGGCGGCAATGCTGTTGCTGGGAGCAGAGGAGAGAAAAGAGAGGTCGGTCAGAGAGCCCAGCAGTGACCCCGGCCACCAGCCACAGGGGTGGCAGAGGACACCTGAGTAGCTCCAGACACCTGGGGACCCAGGGTCCCCAGGGGAGGTCCTTGGAATGGTGCATGGAGCTGGCCTGCGGGTTCTTTGTGGAGAGAAATACACAGCAAGGGAGGGAAACAAGGGCAGTGTGCAGTGATGACTCTCGTCACGCCGCCAGCCTGGATCAGTCCTCTCAGCCACTAGACAGCAATGGACTACATGCGCTGCAGGCTCGCCTGCCTTTTAAATTCTGGAAGAAAGACCTTCTCTAGCGGACAGAACCACCAGCCCTGCCGGCTCTGCTCCTCTCCTCCACTTAGCAGGTTAATCAGCTAGAAGTGGGGTAAGCATTTTGTCTCTTAAATCTCCAAATATTTTTGGAAAAGAACCCAAGTGTGGTGGTGCTTGCCTGTAATCCCAGCACTTGGGATGCTGAGACAGGAGGACTGCCATAAGCTTGAGGCCAGCCTGGGGTACATAGTGATTTCAAGGTCAGCCTGGACTCTGTAGTGAGACCCTGTCTCAAAAAACAACAAAAATATATGAATATATATATATATTTTTTTAATTTAAAGAGGATTGTAAATTCAAGGGGTCAAAACATTGACTGGAAATCTTGAAGCTTTAAATTAGAATTCAAGCTTTGCAGAGAAAACTGAAAATGGGAGACTCTAGAAGGTCAGTACCCTTCAACAAAGCCTGGAAACAGAAACATATTCTGGATAAATTTGCATTTAACCTCAGCTGTGGTTCTTAAGGGAAAATGGAAATAAGAGTATGTATGTTTTTCCCATAATAATGCTCTGAGACAATAAATAGGTCTCCTTATAGCGACTGTTTTTCTTGTCAAAGGAAACACCACCAAGACTTTGGAAGTGGAACACTTAGCTGTTTGTTTGGGCATGAATAGGTACAAGACACCTTCAAGGGGCTTCAGTAACCCCGGTCCATGAAAGCTTCATCGGGGAGAGCCCCCAGATAAAGAATGTGGCGGCTTGGGGAAGGCGACTGTGGGCCACATTCGGGGAGCAGCACCTGAACTCCATGTAGAGCCCTAAGACCACGGTCTTCCTGCTTTGTGAGAGGTGGGCGAGAAGTGGACGGTATTAAAACCACAGGGAAGTGTGGACAGGCTCTGATGCGGGTCCTCCTGGGGCGCTGCACAGGGGCAAGGCCAGTCCTGACGACCACGTGCGGGACAGTGCCGGCAGACACCAAACGTCGCTGTGTGCGTGCGTTTACTTCTCTTCACTATCCTCAGAGAAGAAGAGGAAAGAGACTTTGAACTTGTGACCGGGCTTTGGTAGGACAGGAAGACACCTGTGCTGGATGGAGAAGGCAAGAAGCAGGCTGGGTTCCACGTGGGGGCGGCAGTGACAGCTTGGAGGGCGGCCACGGATTTCTCACCCAGGCCTCAGACCCCGGGAGGAGCCTAACTTCCTGGATGGGCAAAGAGCAGCACGGAGCAGGGCCTGGGCCAATGCCATAGCGATCCGGAGGCGGAGCCAGGCTTTGTGATGCTTTTCCCCGGAGTCCTGCTTCTTCCTGGTAACAGAAACCCCCTCTCGCTGGTAGAGGCACAATTCTGATCTTTCCATTGACCGGCTCTGATTGGCGTCAGCCCAGCTACTCCCCAGAGGTCCTAGTGGCTACTGGGCTTAGCACCTCTCACTGGGGCTGAGGGAAGACATGTTTTTACGGGTGTATGGGGAACTGAGATAGATGGATAGGTAGATAATCTTGATCATTTCCAATCCCTTCCTCCTCTCTCTTCCTCTGCGGATCCTCTTCCCCATGTCCAAGAAGTCTGCCTCACTCTTTAGTACAATCTCTCTTTTGTTTTATGCTTTAATTCACTTATGTTTTGGGGTTCTCATATGAAAGAAACCAGGCAATATTTAACTTCCTGTGTCCCACTTGTCTCACTTAATATTACAGTCTCAAGATCCATCCAGTTTCCTACAAAGGCTGGGGATGTGTCCTTCTTTATGGCCAAATAGTACTCCACTATATACCTGCATCACATTTCCTTTGCCCATTCCCTGTTGATGGGTGGCTCACTTGCTTTCCTATATTAGCTATTGGAAACTGCACTCCTGTAAACACAGGTATGCGTGGATCTCTTTGAAGCTTGCTCCCAAAATGTGCTAAGAGAGCATCATTGGTGCCCCCACACCCACGCAAGCACTGCCCCTTTGCCTTTAACTGTGCTTTGTGCTGGGAGCGGGAGCACCTATGCTCCGCCTCGCCCTCCTTGGCCCTGAACCTTGCTCTCCCTCTGGGATGGGCCTGGCTGCAGGAAGTGCCTGCCACCTTCTCTGCGAGGGCCCGACCTGGTCCAGAGTGCCGTGACCTTGGGAGCAGGCTCAAAGCTGGCTCAGCATGAGTAAGCCCAGGTGGCTGACAGTCCTCCAGCCCTGTCCTCCAACCTGGCCTTCAGAGGTAAGCACAAGTCTTCGATCCCTGTGCTGTTTTATTTCTTCACTGTTACAATCCAGGTGGATCAAAAGGCCTTAGGGACCTACCGGTGAGCCCCGCAGTTGGGATATTAAACTTTGCTTCTACTTGAATTTCATTTAAAACTGTTGGCAGAAAAGCTTTTAAAAATTCTTCCTAGGTCTCAATCACCTTATTTGAGAAGAGCAATGAGCATCTTTCCCCAGTGCTCCACCCACACTTACTCTTTAGATACCCATGTCCACAGACCTAACCTTCACTGCCCAGGTCATGTACTCGCTGTACCATGCACAGCTACACGCTGAGCCATTGCTTATAGGTTCCGGAAAAAAGGCAAAACCTTTAGATTCCACTGCATTAGGAGACAAGTTCTTGAAACCCAACTCAGGCCCAAATGGTGGAGAAAACCCACATGGTCCTAGTGAAAAAATGAACCAGAAAAAGTGCCTTCCGCATTCTCCTGGTGCTGAGAACCCCGCCAAAGCACAGAAGCAAATCCAAGTCCAAGCCACAAAGTCACAGCCTCTCTTTCAGAGGTAGGAAATTGCCAGGCCACCTAAACTCATTTTCCTTCAGCTGGAAGCCAGTCTTCTCCAGAATGTGGTCCTGAGATCCAGGCTGAGCCATAAAAGGAAGAGGCTGGTAGGAGACATTGTGGGCTGGTGGTGGACAGGTCAGAAATCCCTCTGAGACTTGGTGACAGTACATGCTCAGCGGAGCGAGAACATTTGTGGCTACAGGCAGGCAACATAGAAGCTCCAGCATCGGGAATGGGCTACACACCGAAACCATCCATGGAAGTTTATAAAACTTAACACAACAATCAAAACAGACCATTCACCATCTTGGAAGGGTTCAGGCAGGGTACTCACAGAACTTTGGAAAGTGGGTTTTTTGTAGTTATTTTTGCTCAGAGCCAGAGGAATGAGCAGCCACAGAAGCCAAGCTCCCATTGTGTGTAAAATTGATCTTGACTGAGCAAGTCAACATTTATCTTGTAGCCTACATAGTTTCTTAAACAAGGTTTTAGAAAGCAAATCAACTTCAGAAACCATAAATTGATTTTTTTTTTTAAAAAAAGAAACTTCTCAAGGAAGGAATATAACCTCTGGGGTTAACAAAAGCATATTTATAAGAACAAGGACAGCTGCAGAGCAGCCAGGACACCCATTGTCCTAACATCACAGAGTGCTATTGTCAAGTGAATGTCAACACTTACCAGCAGCAGAAAGAGCAAGAAGAAATGGTTAACAAGAAATCAGTGGTGGGTAAAGTAAGGGACTGCAGAAATGAAATTCCCGGGCAGGCTGTTGAGGCTGAAGAGATCAGGAGGTAAACTGGGAGTACACAGGGACAGAGCACCATCACAGCCACGCCGAGCATCGAAGGATCCAGGGCAGCCCTCAGGCTAAAGCTCCGGTAATCTCAAGGGATCCTGCCACTCACCCTGCTTCTCAGAGCTTCCCACACATCCAGTTTTAGATCCTTTGCCTTGAACACAAATGCTTGGCCTTTGTCTGAAGACTTAGGTCTCCAGGTGAGCGATTCCAAAGGTGATGATGCCAGAACCCAAATGATCTCAGGCACTGCTGATATGGAAGGGAGTGCAACTCAAGGTCTCACTGCTATTGCCTGGGGAGGGGACCCAGACTCTCCGTGAGTCTGTGTACAGCACACCGGCTACGGACAGGAAGCTACTGTGGGCTCATGTGTACCTCCCAGCCTAACTCCTGTCAGAGCGAATGACAGCCCAGGCAGCTTCCCAGACTTCCCCCAGTCCACAGACTGACCCTCCGCTATTATGAGTATCAGGGCTGGGGATTTAGCTCAGTGGTGCTGCCTGCCTCAAGAGTGCAAGGTCCAAGTTCGATTCCCCCGTACCCCCCAAAAAAAATCAACCTTGATATTATGAGTATCTTCCCCCCAAAAAAAAATTCTTTCAGAAATATTTTAAAAGTATAATCATTGTTTAAGAAACATGTGCCCAAGTTAGCCATGTTCTAGATCAACCGTTCCCAGAACAGCTATGGGGAGATGAGAATATGCATTTCATATAAAAGCATATATAAGACAGTCTCAGGCAAGAATTATGTTAACTCAAAGATCAGACTTTCCAGAAAATATTGCTTTCATTATACACAAATGCATGACTTGTGCAAAGAGTAAATACACCTAGTATGCACCAGTATTTCAGAAAGTGCTTGTACCACACTCAAAAGTCAGGAAGTAGTGATTTATAACAGAATAATTTGCTATTACTATTATCTAAAAACAAATCAGAACTTTTTGGATGAACTTTATTTTCCCAATGCCAGTTTTGCAAAGTACATGCCTTTCCCTGTTACTTGATTCATAGTGAAAATGCTCTTTTTGTTATTTTTTGGCTGTCGGCCCAGTTAAGGAAGAAAGATTTCCTTTAAAGGAACTTGCAACCTTCAGAGGTTGAAGAAGAGGTCAAAGAACAAGAGGCCTATGGAGAATGAGTGAAAGGGCAGAGAAAGACATCATTTCAAGCTACGTACATGTTGGTGGTAAAGATGCCGTAGATCAAGTCCAGCTCGGGCAGGAAGAAAGTGCTCTGCAGCTCGTTGTAGTAGAAAGGCACCTCCCCGGGCCGGGAACAGTTCAGGCGCGCCTTCATGAAGGTGGTCCAGGTGTCCTCCAGCAGGAAGCGTCCCCCGATGTCGTTCTTGCAGACCCGGGCAGCCCTGGAGAAAATCACCTTTCCACAGTCGTGCTCCACAGCATTTTCTCGGAAAAAGAAGTAGGTGAAATTTCCGATGTCGTATGAGGATACGAAGTTCGGCTCTGCAAACAACAGGAGAGGAGAACAACCTCAGCAACCATATGCTGTTCCTCCTTCCTGTCATCTGCCCAGTCTTTCTTCCAGAGGACGTGGCTTGGTTTAGGCAACATATGGCTCCTGCAGCACAAATGGGGACCCAGAGCACCGCTTCCTATCCACACTGCTGGGCTCTGGGGTCCTGCACAAGTTCTGAGAAATGGGGAATCTACAGCAAGATCCGCACTCAGACATCCTGAACTATAAGCCACCACTCCAGTAAAATGACACTCCCACCATCAAATGTGGACAGCAAAGACGAGCAGAGCAAGTCAGAGCAGTGCCTCTTCCTTCATTTGAAAACTCTTTCCTATATCCAGAAAGAGAACAAAGAAATAAAATGAAAAAGATGAAACAGGATTTAGAATACAGAGTCTGCAGTTACGTTTGCCTGTAACACTGTGAAATTCTTTGACTTACATATGTGCGTGACTGTGATATAATTTGTACGCTTTTAGTAAGGATTTTTAAACATGTTTAAAACTGATCGAAAACTCAAACTGTAAGATTAGTGTCTCCAAATTAGCTTTAGCAATTTCTGTTGCTATGGTGATAGTGTAACTGTGAAAATCAAGCTTTATTTTCTTACTTCTGGGTCACCGGGGGAACCCACTGAGATCAGGAAAGAGTGTTGAGATAGATCCAATGCCTAGAAGCATTCTGGTCTCATAATTAGCTTAAAGAAAAGATTGAGAAAAGTGAAAATTACGGTAAAACCTTTAATTACCAAGCTCACTAGAAAACAGAGAACACCAACTGAATTTTACATATGGCATGTAAATGTTATCTTTTTAACTTCCCTTTTGAGTTTTTTGGTAATAGAACTTATACCTTACCAGACTCCTAAGATATTCTGATATTTATTTTTTTTAAATCTCTAATAACTAGGTTTTTCACAAAGCATTCCATCCAATCAAGTGTCTGAATTTTGTGGTACAGTCAGGATAACAGTGGCAATAATCACTGTTGTTCAAAATTAATGTGAAGTCAGAAACAACAGCTATGTCCACAGGGAAACATTTTCATGGACAAACATTCCTAGAGCACTGTTGCTTTATCCTGAAATGAACATAATTTTTAAAAATTTCATTAAATTGTATGAAGTGGACATCAGATGGATTTACTATTACTGTGTGCTTCAGAAACCTGGGGAGACACTCAAGACACAATGAGCGTGAAAAGTGTGTTTTAAGGATGTGAAGAAAAGACTGAGAACATTTTGAATCTTTTTTCTCCATGAATGTCCACAAGAATTACCTATAGAAGCAGACCTTAAAAGCAAAGATATGAAGCATCTACAAAACTATATTTAGTGCTTTAAAAAAATGTCACTTGTATGTTCAGTTCTAAAGAGAAAGCTAAATCATTTCAGAACAGACTCTATACCCAGGTTCCCAAAAGGAAATTACAATCTGAGCGTTACACTAAAACCAAACCAAAAACCATCATCATCATAAAGCACAACAGCAGTAAACCATCTAAAATGCAGAGAATGACACAGGGTGTGTCCAGCCAGGACTATGGTTACCCACACACATTCATGAGGCAGGAGGCACCGTCCACCAAGCTCTCTCAAACACGCTCCCAAGTGTCCACTTCTGCAAGTAATCTGGGACAAAGATTGGAAGTCACATGATACATAGCTCTAGCAACTTCAAGAAGCCTCAAGCAAGAAAACAACCACAAAAGAGAAAAAGACCTTCTGTGGCTTCTTCCAGTCGAATGTATAGAAAAACAGCTAATATATGCCGATGACAGATTCCACTGTGTCCAGCTGTGCTCAGTGCCTAATATCCATGTGCTCATTAAATTCACAAAAGCTCGAGAGGCAGTCCGGTGTATTCCTTAGCTCTGTGTCTCTGGGACCAAATACACAACGTTTGCAACTTAAGGGAGGAAGAGTGCATAATTGCTCATGTTTTCGAGGTTTCAGTCCATGGTCAGCTGGCTCCAAACCAGGAGCATCATGGTGGAAGGGCCAAGAGGAACAAAGCAGCTCTTCATGATGTCTGGAATCAGAGGATGGGGGAAGCAAGTCCTCCACAGGTATACCGCCTGTGACTCACCTACTCAACTTGGGCCCCACCTCTAACAGCACATTCAGCTGTGAACATTCTTGGATTCTTTCACCATCACAGTACAGTGAGTACATCTTCCATAAGGGAACATCCTGTATGCTAACAATAAATCCAATGGGATTGGATTTCTGGACAATACCCTTGGAAGGGGAGTCATCACATTCTTTTGTGGGTGGTAAATTGGTTTACTTGCGCAGATGCTTAGGAGGGTTTGAGAATTGGCTATAGGGGGAACATAAATGTTTGGAAAAAACTAACCCACAACTGGAAGATATGTTAGCAATGAAACACAAAGTTTCTCTAAAGCAGGAAGAAGAGGCCAACGACTGAAGGACTTATAAACAAGAAGACAGTTGGGGAGTGTTTGACCAACCCCGGAGTGGGTATTTCAAATGGCAGCAGGATAGCCTTGGTGAGCCAACGTGTGCCATCCGGCAGTCTATTCCACCCGCATTATCCACTCCTCTGAAATGTTCTCAGCCAGGGGGAGTACTGAGGGGCGGAAAGCAGACTGTCCCACTGCTGCCTCTTTCGACAGAGAAGCTGTCTTCTCTCCAAAGCTCCCAGAGCAACTGTACAAGGCAATGATGAGCATTTCAGATAGAAATGCTCAAATGCATTCTTCTTCTGGTATTAAAAAACGAGAGAAGTTTTTTAATGTGCAGATTGTGTTGTTCTCCAATTCACCACATGCCACAAGCCATGTGGCCAGGGAGTGAGTGAAACTACATTTGGAAACGTGTCCTGCTACCCGAAACTGACCCTTCAGGATGCGGACGAGTCTGACCGTGGGACCTGCTGTGAAGGCAAAGAGCTTGGCTGCGTGGAAAGCAGACCTTGCTGAAATTCAGCCAGTATCCCATTCCTTTTCCAAAACCAGTAAAGATGTAGCAATAATTGTTTGCAGACAGTTAGTTACCTCTTGCATTTCTAGATATAAAGACAGAAGGGGATATCTGAATTGCTCCAGGCAGAACAGAGATGCACATGTCGTTTGTCTTCCATTATTAGTTGTCCTTTTTAAAAATGAAATTCACTCAAACTAGGATTTGTCATTTGTGAGTAAACTGACTAAGTCATCAGTCAGCCCTCACCATCATGTTTGCAATGGATATGAATGCACGATAGAGATCTAAAAGATGCTTTCAACATTATCATCATCAGAGCTACAAATGAGGGGCACATGTGCTGCTATCTGACTCACAATAAAGACAGGCAGAAGTCTAGGTCAGCTTCTATATAAACATGTGCAAGGGGAAACCATAGTTTCTCATATTTGTAAATCTAATTGAGATAAATATTGCAGAGTGGCCTAAAAAATGTGTCAGATTAATAAGAACTGTATTAGAAGAATTTTTATTTTGCATCTTTACTTATATAATAGACCATGATGATGGGAGTACAAGGAAGGGACATTATCAACAAACTTAAGTGAGGAAAAAGCATCAAGAGTTTTTTTTTTGTTGTTGTTGTTTTTGTTTTTGGTACCGGGGATCGAACTTGGGTCCTTGCGCTTGTGAGGCAGGCCACCGAACCGCTGAGCTAAATCCCCGGCTTTTTTTTTTTTGCATCAAGAGTTTTGACCATAGAAAGCCTAATGAGTCTAGCCCTCCATTCTGTACTTTCGCTATCTCAATACTTAAAGTATCAATATGGTGATGATCACTCATAGGCTGTTGATATAAAACATTTGACCAATAAGGATGAATATTAAAGAAAAATTCCATTTTTCCAACTCTATAGAAATATTACCAGATCTTTCAATCTAGTAAAAATTATCTTATACCCCAAAGGCCACACTGCGGCACATGTGCCAAGAGCAGGCTGGAAAACAACCATGCACAGGCCAAGGACACTTCTGCTCGCTGGGACTGGACTGGCGACCTGTGACTCGCTCTGTCTTCCCTGAAGACATCTGGGAGCACAGCGGTCTCATCCGCAAGGGTTTAAGGATGCAAAGGGCTGTCCATGGGTCACAACAGAGGATGGCCACCAGCACTGTTTCTTGACTGGCTCTTGATGTATCTTTCAATGATTTCACAGCTAAGAGAACTTCACACAAGACAAGGAATGAAACGCATATAACTAGTTTGCAGGTGATCAGAATTTGAAGATCACAAATTCAGCTATGCTGAGTTTTCAAAAGGACAAGGAATTTCACAGCGAAAGAAAATAAGTTCATAAAAACAACCTTGTCTTTTCTGTTCCTTCATTTGCTGGTGTCTGTCACTATGAAGCCACTTCCATTCATACTCGTAGATCTTAGAACTTCGCTTATTGTGTACATTGTTTCCTTTGTCACAGCTACAGCAGTGAAATGCACTCTAGAAGTTTCCAAAAGAAATCTAATTCCACTGAGGTATGTGTAAGCATGGGTAATTCAACTAAAATGAAATGAACTGTGGTGAGAACTCATTGGTGGAGTAGAGTATTTTCCACTGAGATTTCAATGAAACGAGAGTGACAGGTGAAGAGCTGGGTGGATACTAAGTAGGTGCACGTGTGTGTGTAGATGTGCGTGTTACATGTATGCATTGCTAAACTCCATGTATATATGGCTCAATACTTCCACCTACTGGATGTATGAACTTAGTCACGTCCGTTGAACAGTCATTCAACAGCATATCTTGTGTTTTCTTCAGTGTTACAATCGCAGTAACAACACAGGCCGTGAAGTATTATTATGAGAGTCAAAGGCAGTGGATGTCAGGTGCCCAGCATTTGTCTAGTAAGCATAAAAATTCAAATTACAATATATTTATTATAACTGTTTTACTGCATAGATCAATGTCACCACAGGTCAGTAAACAGATCACCCATATTTACATAACAGGCTGACTCTTTCATTGTCCATTCTGTATATCAAATTTGAGTCCTTTACTTCTTTC